GTTTTTTCAAGTAGTTAATTGTATCTGAAGCCTACTGATATGGATACTAGATGACCAAGCTGAAAACATTTTGATTGTCCTGAATGGATTATTTCAGTACAATTTGGAAAGAATGCTATATTGTATGTACAGGGTCCTGATAAGGCAGTTTCTTTTCTGAGTGCTGTCTCAACTTGTTAAAAAAAAAAAGAGATAAAAGAGAAAGCTAAAGTGCTCATACAATTTTGTGATGTACATTTTGGAAACAAGGGGAAGTGAGACTTCAAGAGTATTTCTAATGCAAGAAAGTATATAAATTAGCTGGGCATCATGAAGATAATGGAGGGGAGAGATTAATTTTTCATCCCACTCAGACACACGTCACTGAATAAGACAAGTTCCTGCATGTACAACATTGAATGTGATCCGTTTTTTCAGCTACTTATAGCTAGGAAAAAAAGTGCAGATTCAGGTGTAGACCAGTGTTTGGCCTTTTCCCAGACTTCTGTGAAAACTGTTAGCAAATTAAAGGGTTAAAAGTTCATTAAGCAATTAGTAAAACAGTTGCATAATCAAAAAATCATATAACATAACTTAAAGCAGCCACAGAATAGTTTGGATGGTGAAATAGTGCATCTGGAGCTTGGATGAATGGCTACACCAAAGGTATGCACACTTTACATTTCAGTAGTAATAAAGAACCTGTAGTATCTTGATTCTTCATTTACTACATTATTACAAGATAAATATAGAGTCTGATCTTTGATGTAAATATAGACTCTGTTTTTTCCACTGTCATACATTATCTATATATTATCAGTGCCCTAAATATTTTGCACAGAACTATACAGTGGGGTACTTTCTGTGGTTTTTTTCAGATATGGCAATTCTCATAGCCTCATCTTTAGACAATGGTCTTAAAGGACATATTTCTGATGTCACCACCAGCATGTCCATTTATTCAGTTGCATGAGTTAGTATTTTGCATTAATGAAATAGTATACAGTGACATCACTAAAGGTCCTGGTGAGGAATTTCAGGAGTGCAAATTCTCCTCATTTATACTGCAGTAACTTAGAGATCAGTGCTCCCATATCAGTTACTTGAGGCTTAGTCACAGTTCCTTTATTTTGCCTTTAACAGGACCATATTTCTTTATATTGTTGGAGTGGGCAAAAGACGTACTACTTTTTTTTTTTTTCTGGGATTAGTAAGTGAAAAGACATTAATCAGGTATCTGAGCTTCACCGTGCTTCATTACAGAATTCCAAAACTTACTAGGAGAAAGCTTCCATATAGTTAAACATGAGGTTCAAGTATCTGAGCAGGTAAGCATAACTATAAAACATAATCTGATAGGTTCAAAGTTAATTAATTTTTCATATTCTATTTCTTGCTTATAATGTGATGGGAAAAAACTTTATTTTTGCATGTGTTTGTTACTTGCAGTTGCACTGAAATTGTTTCAGTCAATGAGCTTTATCTGAAAAATACCATCAGTAATCACACATTGACCAGCTGCAGCAGAAAATGTGTTTGTGTTGTGTGTTGTACTTTCCTTTCTCCAATTTAATAGGAAATTAGGAAGATGAATTCAGCCCCGCAGTCTAACTTAATAGAGTAAATAATGATACTTGATACTTCAAAAGAGGAGCTGTCTTCATGCATTAGTTTCAAGATCACTTCTTGAAGCAGTACGACTCATTGTGTGAATGGAGACAATCAGTTTCAGCAGGGGCATGAATTACAAAGTTGTGTTCATACACCGATATTCTTATATTACTAAAGCTTACTAACCTTTAGTGAACTTTATAACCTGAAATGTCTTGAATGAAGTCTTATACAAAATGTAACTATTTTTCGATATCTAAAGTTTACTTTAAAAATGTGAGTCCATGTTCTTCTTCCTAAACCCCTCCATTCTTTCATCAAATGTGCTTGCTTCAAATTCATTGCTTTAACCACTGTATAAACTAGGTGGATTTGAATACATACAGGAAGAATCTAAAGCATTTGGTTGTTATTCGTGTGGAGATAACTCACTTACACATGCAAAAAATGAAAGAAACTTACAAATGTTCAAGTGATTTTTGTTTTGTTTTGGGGCTATACAGCACCAAATGACAGTCAGTAGTACAATGGATCTTTTCCCTTTTAATTTTTATTGTGCAGTATCATTTCAGGTTAATAAAACAAACAAGGACAATACTATCTATTCCCCACATTTTATTATTTTTATTTAAATATAACATACTATACATTGTTGCTTAGTGATTTTTGCTTCCCTTTTCTTTTTTAAATCCATCCCCATTTTCCTTTTGCTCAGGAGTCTCTTATGCTGAGGGTGACAGAAAACAGAGCTTATGATTGAGGATCTGTGATACTCTAGATAGAGTGTCTGCAGTTTGCTCCCACTACAGTGGGTATTACAGTATACCAAACAGACAGGAATCATTGATTCCTTTAAGGGTTTTTTAATTTCGTTAATTTTCAGAAACCACTATTCATGTCACAAATGGCTCCTGACTCACTTTGGAAAAGTGGTATTTCCCAATTTTTGTCTCTGAGCAGCATGATGTTTTGAGTACTATGATAACATTTATGCATAATCCCTCCTCTGAGCAAGTAATCTAGGTAATTCTGTCAAAAGAGAATTTCATTTGTACCCTAAATGTTCTTTAAGTGGTCATCCAATACTGTGTTCATCTGAGCTCACACTGAATGTTCACTGCGGGTGGTCCATTATGTCTTGTCAGTTTTAATTATTGATTACAAATTTAAACAACAGAAACTCGCTTTTATCATGGTAGTTAAGTTTTGCTGTGACCTGCAATTACATTTAAAACCTGAAATTCTTATTTCCTTTTCTAGAAAAATGTCATTTGTGAGGAAGAAAGCTGGAGATAAAGTACCATGAAATACAATGTCAGCTATCAGCTAAAATGTTGTCTCTCAATGAATTCCTGGTTTTAAAACAGTTGACTTACTTAAGGACACGAAATACAATCTGACCATTTTGTATTTTATGGGAAAGCTATTATTTTTTGCTTCTTTTAAAAAAACAGCTAATATTTAAATAACAGATTAAGATTGAAGTGCTGGTTAAACATTGACTTAAATAAGTTATAGAAGATTCCAACACCACCAGCCTTTACAGAGGTTAAACATTCTCAAAAAGACACATTAAGCAAGGCTCTCCTTTGTACCAAAATACAGTTTCCAAACAATAAAAATAAAACCAACTTTTTCACAACAAGAAATATTGAAGATAAAACTGCAGCATCAATATAATCTCATAGTTATCACTTAAAGTATTTAGAACAAAATAATATTATACTACTTTTGTTTCTTACTAAAGACACTGCAAAGGCTTATTTATTTATTTAGTGGAATACAATGTGAAGACAGTGGTACAAATTGTTTGATGTACTGTTTTCTATTTATCTGCTCTAACAAAATGAATCTCAATATGGTTACATTGGTGAGCTATCCAGAGCTCTCTAAAATTACAGAGTAAAGCAAAACATAAAACAAACCTTATGTACCTTTAATTGAACAGACTTCATATTATGCTTAACTTTATTATACTGCAGTTGCTCAAGTTAAGCCATGGGACTAGTAACACTTCATAAAAATGTGCTGGATATTATGTATTTTGAGCCTTCAGTTACTATGATGGATATGAAAGGCATGCTAAAGCCGGATACCAGCACAGCTTTTTAGTTGGCTCTCGTATATAACATACATGTGAGTAATAATCTCTGATAAATGCATGAGCATGATTTTGGATCTCCTGTCCCTCAGTCCTTAATTAGGTATCGCTCCCACTATATGCTCGTGATTCTACAAGCTGGTAACAAGGACGAATGTGCTGAATGGGCATATTAATTGAATAAGGAGTGCAGGACTGTTTTGCCTTCTTACTGATATTTCAGAGGCCAAATTTTACACTTGGGAATTACAGACTGTTTAATTTTAACCTTTGCAATCTCAGTGACTTTAACAGGGCTGTCCACATCTAAGTTCCAGCCCAAAGCTTGCTGTAGAATATCACACTGTTTGCTGTGCATTAGATCTTAGTTCCAAATTGAAATAAAAGTCGGATGAATATACACACAGATACATTGACACCCAAGCACAGATATGGCCCCTTCTCTCAATTTCAAAATAGCAGAAAGACCCTTTGAACAAAATATTTCTTGAAGTTTTTTCTTGAGTGCTGGTAAGTGAAAAAATTTCTCCAACATACAGACACCCAATACCATAAATCCAAGCACTGCTTGTTTGGTCTTTTTGCTTAAGTGCAAGACAGTTTAGGAAAAAAATGGATTATACACATTAAATTCTGCCTTTAAAGCCTTGTCTCATACCTGTTTTCAGAGTACTTCTGAGGTTTTGACATTTTAACCTATCAACCTCTGTGTGAAGTACTGAGAAAAAAGGAAAATAACAAAGAAGCAAATGAGGAAAACATCTCAAATGAAAAAGATATTTAACATCCTATTAAATAAATAACTTAGAAATAAAAAGAAATGAATTTAGAACATACAAGCAAACCATACTATTCGTTTTGTTAGAACAGTTTTACACTACTTTGCTTATATTCCTTAATCCTATCCATTCTTCCACAAGGCTTCTCCAGAAATGTCATTTTTTTGTGCATATGACCCAAGTGCTTCCAGTAAATGCTTGCGTGTCTAACAGTTCATTGGATCACTAGGCTTGAACGAGTAATTAAGGTCTTTGATATGAGTTAGTATTCCATAAATAACTTTCCCCATGAAGATAATTCAACAGATTGTCTCACATCCCCTAAATTCTGTTGCAGAGATAAAAAAAATTGTTCACACTGGCAATAACTTCCATCCCATTTGATCCAGCTTGTATCTTCATTATAAGATATGACACCGAACTAAATAAAGTATTTCATGTGCCAGCAATAAGTATAAAACCTTCAAAGGCCTCCCCTGCTCTCTTTTCAAACAAGCAGATGTCTGCATTATTTCTTTGCATTTACGCTTCAAGAGGATTACCAAATATTCTTGACATAAGAGCCTTTGGTTCAACTGCATCAATAAAATAGTTCCTTCATCTATGACATTACTACCATTGGAAGAAAGTGAGCTGAAGTGTTTTTCCTTCTTGTTTTCTGTCCTCTCTTTGTGGCTCCTCTTCCATTCAGGGCCACAAACATTTGCCTTCCATTGTGCTTCCAATTTAATGATGCATATGTGTTATATCCATTTTCTTCTATTCTTTCCTTCAATTTGCAATCACTGTTAAACTCCTTCTGTTAAAAGAAGAAAAAAATACACTAATTCAGAATAAACATAATCTTTCAGAGTTGCAGCATACTGAAGATAAATAGTTCCCAGAAATATTTTGGAAGATTTCAGTGTTCTGTATATGACACCCTGTTAGCATTCTACAGTACATTTAAAGAATATTTTCACTGTGCCTCCAGCATTTAAAACAACATCAGTTAGACTGCAAAAAGTGAAACCAGCTAAATACATAATCAGTTATGCAGTGCATAATTATAGCAGTGAAATGATATAATTCACTCACAGCTGAAATTAAACTTCTCCGTGATGGAATATGACAACAATATTAAATTCTCAGTCATAAACTCGAGGTATGAGGTAGCAATCTTGGAATCATTCATCATGTTTCAATTCTAACAAATATAACCCTTAAATATCTTGAACTGGATTATTGATACCATATGTTAAACAAATATGCATGGCATAGGCCTACTTATTATTTAAAGTAAGATCCTTTACACCACATTGGCCCTGAAAAAGGGCTTTTTTGAATGGGTGCAAGTCACTGTTAAGCTGCTGTTACAATGGATGTGAGGCCTGTTTATTCTGCTGACCTGAAGAGGGGCTTAGCCTAAAAAAGAATTGTGTATGATTCTGTAACTTATTGACTAAATAAACTTGAAAGCAACTTTGTGTATGGTACAAGGGATTAAGGTTTTCTGTTTTTAAAGGACAACCTGTTGTCAGTTTGCTAGAAAGAATAAAAAATACAAGCATGTGGAAGCATGTAGGGGGAGACTATTTTGTTCTATAATGTTAAACGCACTTTTACACAGATCTTCTTCCCTATAATGAAGCCAAGAATGCTTTGTTTTCACAAACAAGTAATTCCTTCATATAAACCCCCACAGTTTTATCAAGTTACTTATATTCCATTTAGAAGGCTTTTGAAAGTGGGACATTTACAACACACTTAAATTACAACCAAAAATTAGTATTTTGTTGCTTCTGCATTTCAGAAAATAAGGTGTTCACAGCTCAGGCAGAAGCATGTCAGAATCTCAGAGTATGATACACTAACTACATGTGGTATTTTTAATGTGTCTACGAACAAGACTAGAAATATGTCTGAATAATAAAACAATTTTCATGGTACAGATAAGAATTTCAGGGATGTTTTATCTTTTATTATGATCAAAATTCTTAGATATTCAGCTAATAAAGACATAGAAAGTATCCACATTAATAAAAAAGGACATAAGAATATTAAAATAATAAATTTTCAATTTCTATTAATTTAAATCAGAATTTTTAAACTAGTTAATGTTCAGTACTTTCATACAGTAAGAATTTTTGGGTCTATAATTAATGTTTTACTTATTTGCTGCTAAGACCACAGCTTATGTTTTCCTAACAGAATTGCGCATATTCAAAGACAGTTTGGCTCCCAAAATGCTCTTTGATTTTGGGACTAGTAGTTAGTTGAACAACGACTGGTAGGGAAGACAACATCAGGAGACAACTCTCTACAAAACAACCCCTGATACTGCCTGTATTCACAAAGCTAAATATAGATCATTTAATGTTTATATGCTGTAATACGACACCCCTGGAATCAAGGTATTAAGAAGGCAGGTGGCCATCAATCACAGTTCTAAACCACAGTAACTTCTCCTATCTGCCAGCAGCTTGTTTTGTTAAAAAAGCAAAATAGTGAGTATTCTTTTGCTCCCTTATTCTAACCAAAGTCAGTCAAATGGAAAAGTATTTGATAAACATAGAAACAGTCTTATTTAACTTGTTTTCCCAGATGCAGAATTGTACTCAAATCCAAACTTTTATCTCTATTCTTAGATAATAAAGAGAGAACAGATGATGTTGTGATGTGGTTAAGAAGTCTTATTGGCAGGGGTCTGAGTGTTAGCCCAGGACTGCTTTGCTCATTTCAAACAAATTTCAGCATAACCCTGCACCAATGTCTATTGTGCACATGCTTAAGAGTGTTTTTAAAATTTTTATTGGTTCTGTTTTTCATATCCATCTGCAAGCTGCCACATTGTAGTAATATGAGTCTAACTGCAAGTCTTGGGAGGATGGGAAAAATAATAACAGAAGCATTCCTGAAATCTCTGAAGTATTATGGAATAGGTTTCGATAAGTCATTGTGTTGTGATTTTATGATGTGAATATTGAAAAATTATCTCAGCTGGAATTAAAAAAAAGGCTTTCCACATTCGTATCCTCCTGTCAACACTATTTCTAATACACTATGAATTACTGAATCTTATGGCAGCAGTTTCCACCTATGGTACATGAAAGCTACTTTGACTTCTTTTGTGTGTATATAGGGTTGGGACGGACTCTTAACCACAGCAGATGCGGCTAGCAACTTGGATAGGAAAACTTATCTCAGGCTTTGGGAGAGACCATCACAAATGACTAAATTAAACACTGTAAACTGAGATGTGTGAATTGAAGATGGTGATTTATGCTAACACCTTCACATATGTACAGAAGTATACCTATGATCAATGAGTGTAGCTTAACTGACAAATGGTAACCTTGTCAGCAACTCAGTACACCCTTATACCTCTCAATGATGCAGAACTGAGCACTGATCATCCTGTATTTCTGACCAGTGTAAATCTAGAAATTAAAATCCACATTTACAGGAGCTTAAGAAACATTTCTGTGTTCTGGTCTTTTCTTAATGTGATTCTTTGACACTGTCCAGGAGTTTAGAAAGTCAGAAGTAATCATTTGAACCAGGAGTGACTAGCCACAGTGCAGATGAGGGAGGACAGTTTATATAGTTTGTATGAACTAAACCCATCCTGTAGAAATGCTTCCTTAAAAAAGAGGGCGAAATGACTTCAAGCCCCTTGAGTCTCAGTTGAGACTGGCATTATTGCATTATTTTCAGCAGATGTAGGAGGCTTAGCTACATTGCCTGAGGATAAACCCAGCCTCAGCACCTATCTGTCACATGCTCTCTTTAAAGCCTATGTATGTTCTGAATACCGGACAATTTGAAGATTGGCTCATAACCTTTGCAGATAACTTGAATAAGTTTACATTTATGTGGGCTCAAACTCACCGGAACTGGCAAAAAATGGCAAAATTACAAACCAAACCAGATGTAATACCAGAACAATCTGGTGTTTGTGTAATCATGTGGATGAGTGAGGGTACACTTGAGCTGAGTAGTCAAATTTATAGATCATATTGCTTCCTATTAAAAATATTTTGACAGTTACTGGGTTTTGCTGCGTTGGGTTTTATTTTTTTGTTTGTTTCAGTTTTTTTGGGTCGTCCCCCCCCCGAAAGTAACAGTAACCTCAAACTTACACAAATTCAAATAGAGTATATATGGACAATTTTTGAATGATACCCAAATTCTGCCCAAAGCGTATCTATCTGCTGATATGCAAGTCTATGTCTCTCTGTACTGCCCATAATCTTGAGCATTAATACAGTCAATTTAAAGCTGGCTACTCTACAAATCTTCTTCAAACTTGTAGTTTGATAATTTGGTGTGTCTGCTCCATCACCTGAAGTTTCCAAGATTTCAGGTACACTTTATCCACTCCCATCCCCCCAAATTACTGCTAAATGTGACTGTAGTGCAGAAAAACATGGAAAAATAGCCTTAAAAATTACATTTTGTAGGACCCTCTCCATTGGCCACTACTTAATTAGAAACCTGACTGAATCAGTTAAGCATGATAAATCCTGGCAGCTGCTTTGGTATGATATGAGCTTAATAAACAACAGGGAGCTTGTGGAGAGTGGGGCAGCTGTTTTACCAGAGGATGAAATTTTGATGAACAGCTCACTTCAGCTCTAATTAGTAGTAACACACAGGCAAGCGGGGTTTTCAGTAGGCAAGAGAGGGAACTATGCCGACTACTGCAATCTGTTTGGAAGGTAAAAAAATACTTACAGAGCCGTAGACTTTTCCTTTCTTGTTCATGGCTAAATAATAGTTGCTCTTAATGGACTTAACTGCCACCACTCCGATTTCTACAGATGTTATCTCCAATATGCCTAAAAAATAAAAATTGAGCTATTTTAACACTTCAGTAGAGGATTTTCTCACTATAGAAAAGGTAATAAACCTGAAAAATCCTAAACTTCTAATATTCAGAACCAACTGACCAGCAAACTTTAGCTAAATTCTTCTCTAAACCATTGCAAGAATATACACAAACATTGTTTCAATTAACGTTTCCTTTGCTAACCCTGCATTTTAAATGCCATAAATACTGAAACAGCTCCATTCTTCATAGCAGAGTTTACTGAAATTTATCAGAAGAGACATCTGAACCACAGCATTAAATTAAATCTATAGCATATGTCAATAGAATGTTAGAATTACCCCAATCTTCAAAACCAGTGGTAAACTATTTATTCCTTGTAGGACATTCAGATAAACTAAATCTCTTGGCTGCACTGACCTGATAAATTCACTTTTGGCAAGTATGTTGACATTTTGGGATATAGTAAGACTAACCGTAATGGCCACATTATCTTTGTCTTTCAGATATCAGAAACATTTTGCTCTGTTTGTAATAGATATGATTAATTTTTTTTCTTTAAAACAAACTCTGGGATTCTGGATGGCTCAAGGGGCCAGTAATGGGAGTAGTAATAGGAGACAAGAGATTTTCATCTCTATGTTTTCTGCCCTAGAGCATACTTATTTGGGAGTAGTAGAAGTTACTACAACTTACATTATGACTTCAGAGATCCCTTTTCAGCTATTACTAGAGTAACTGGATGGCTATGTTGTTTCAGGATTGAGTCTTAATACAGGATAAAAATGGCTCCAACCAAATAACTTCTAAATGGTCTATCCAGGTAGTACGCTTGGCTCCAACATTTCTCCTGATATTAAAGTAGTAGTAGTCAGAACAATAGCCAGTCTAACTCAGTGGTGTCTAAGGGTCTACCAGTGGGGAAATTAAAGGAGGGCCAAAAGTGCTGAGAAATTGTAAAGAACATCCTAGACCAAGCCAACAAATAATGTGACAAATAGATGAGCTGGAAAAACACTGATGAGTTGCTACCTGCATAAAAAAAAAAACCAAACAAAACTGCAGTAATTTCCTCCAAAATATGTGCTATGCTTTTTGTCTGAGTAGGATAGTACTGGAAAATCCATACGTTTTTTCATTTACTTAAAAATTCCTTATGGTAACCACACATCAACTGAAGCCAACAGTGTAACTTGGTATTCAGTGCTTTTTCTGGAAATGCTGATTTTCTGTCCGTGAAAACTGAACGCTGTCTGTTCAGACTTTGCAGCCATGTGGACTTCAGTGTGCAGCGGAGGTGCGGAGGAAGTTCTTTCACTGTAAAGTTTTTTGAAAATGAATGCTTTATAACGATGCAAAAGTCATTCTGTATGGCTATTGAACTGGTCTATGCAACTCAGGAGTGAGGGTGTTACTTTTTCTGTGACTAGAAGCAGACTTTGATGTTATCTGGGCAGTGTCTGTGAATTAAGCATGAAAAACTAATAGCTGATTTTTATTGGGAAGTAAATGATGACATAGTTTATGCATGTGAAGAAGAGAGAGAATATCAAACTAGGCAATTTAACATGAAAGACCTCCTTTTATTGTCAAAAACCCAATCCTAGATGCATTTTAAAATATATATAAAATTCTATACTTATATAAACTGCACAAATTTTGATATGAAGATATATAAATTCCAGTGCAATTACCAGACACTTTGTGTTTACTTAGCAAGAAGCATTAGGTTGGCCACAACTAAAAGGTCTATAGTCCCTCCATATGAGAAAGACTTCAGTGAGAACTGTAAGATAAAAACCAGCAGGTCTAGGATCTAGTAAAGCCCTTCAGAAAGTGGACCATATCAAACCAAAGCAGAAATGCTATCAAAAAAAAACTTTCTTGTCCAAACCTATGAAGACATGAAAGTGGAGGATTATTTTGTTTAAATGTTGGTATCAAAATGCAAATATAAATGTTGATAGACACAAATGATCATGTATTATTAAAAAACCAACAAACCTGATAAAGCTTTCTGCTGTAAGATTGTTATGGTAACATTCTTAATTGCAGCATGAAAAATCAGCAGTGCTAAGGATGGACATATAAACTAAGAAAACTTCATCTATGCAGTGAAAGATCTGAATATCCACTGAGCCATGTGAGAATAATTCTGTACCAATTGCCTCTTGGGCTTTAAACCCAGACTTGAACAGAGTGAATGCAGTTACATAAAGCACTGCAAGTCTGCTACCTGTGAGGGGGTTAAAAACAACAGTTTCCAAAATCAGCTCACTCCATCATCAGTGGTGTCCAACTCAGTAGCAGCAATGGCCCCTCTGAAAAGGCCCCTCTGGTATCTGGAGCTGCCTAACTACTGCCAAGCCGAAAAGATATGGCCGGTTATTTAAATGAAAACTCTAAACACAACTTCATTAGCTACTTATATGTAATGTTAGCTTGAGAATTAGCACGAGGTGCTTAGGTGGAAATAAGAGGAGCTATAATTTAGGGGAACTGTAATCTAGGACGACACAGAAAATGTGAGGGAAGAGTCAGTTAAGACCCTTGACCTACTTTTAAGGCTAACTTGTCTACTGTTGCAAAGCAGCCATATATCATTTTCCATATGTAAAATGAAGAGAATTATACTCTCTAATCTCAAGAAAAGTTGTGAGTCATTGATAGTCAGCTCATATATACCAGTGGCATGCTGTTGATATAAGCAGATCAGTGAGTCCATACCAGCCAAGACCTATTATGCTTGTATTACTCTTAGAATGTTGCTCATTTTCACAGCAAAGAAAAGCCAAAGTTGCTTTCTTGATTTTCTGTGAAAGCATTAAGACAGAGCAGTGGTCTTTAATATTTCTCTCCTGCGGGACATCTCCTGAACTATTTGTGCTTGAAATCAGTTAAGTGGAGTGCCTTAAGTGGATGAGAACCTATTAGAGGGTAAGAATGTGGTGCAAGCAGTGCTACAATGCCCATTTCTTTTTATGAGTGACATGGGGTTTTGTATTTTCCATGCCAAAAAGTGATGAGAAGAATTTAGTTAATTCTTTCTACAGAAATTAATTGCTGTAACCTGAACCATGGCACTGTGGATCCACTAGGCTGGGTCCATTTCTAACAACAGCAGTAAGAAAAAAAAAAAAAAAGAAGAAACTGGCATAACATATGCCATTATTAATTTTTATGTTGAAATGGATTACACAGAGTTATATTTTGTCATATTATCCTTGTAACAATGACACCATATTAGTTCATTTCAATTGACTATTACACTTGCAGCTGAAGGAGAACAGTGCTTAAATAAGAAACTTGCACTGAATTAACCCATTTTAAATCTCTTGCACTTGAATGATGGAGACACACTGCTCTTCAGTACAATACCTAAGTTAAAGCAACAGAAGTATTCATATAATTCATGAAAATATAGTAATTTTTTCTGGTAAAGTTTGTTTGCAATCTCAAACTCCATTATATCCACAGTGGGGCAGCTGAAAGTAGGTCATAAGGACAAATGTTAGTACATTTACATCACATCCACAGTAACTAGCCTGATTATGCCTAGTTACACTATTTAACTGGAGCCAAATATAGCTGAATTCTTTGGAACTATTATTAGTTTGATCTCATCACCAATGATCGGGGATTTATTCTCACTGAATGTGTTTTGTATATTTGGAAGTTGAAAAATGTGTAATGTTCAGTGACAATTTTGCATATTCTAACCTCTGCAGTACTTTGGGGGGGAGAAGGGGAAATTTTAATGGCTGTTTTTCTTTCGAATGAATCTAAAAGTCTTGAATCTAATACCCCTTGGGTAGCAGGGACATAATTTGGTACTTATCTACTCTACTACTCTCTGTACACCCTGGAGACTTCACTGGAGTTACATACTAGTTACAAGCACAGAACTAGCTTTTGTGTAGATTGCAAATTATTCAGTATTATTTACAGATTTTCTCAGGAGGAGATTCCCTCATAAGTTTGACAGAAATCTACTGAAGGCAATAAGAATCTTTTCATAGGTGTCAGTGACGTAGACACAAATTTCAAAAGTCAGCATGAGAGCACCAATTCATCTGACATGGATCTACGAGCAGAAGTCATAAGGACTTTTCAAAACTTTGAAAAGACTGGATTTAAATCAAATGCCTTTGATGTAAGGGTGAAAATATGTATTTGATTATTCTTGAGTCATTATTAAATTCAGCAGGAATGTATAAAAAAAAGAAATCGAGACATACAGTATGAAGGTTAAAACTGTAGTGTTTTCACTATCTAATGGAACTGACTTCTTTGAGGGCACAAATAATTTTGTATTTTCTTCAAGGTTTATGTAGCAGAGTCTCGGGCTGTGATTGGACTTCTATATTACTGCAATAAAAAAATATGTTTTCCATGGGCTCTCAAGAATAACTCTGTAAAATTTCATATTCTTCAAGTGCTCCAGGCTTGGACATAAGAGCCTATTAGACAATATGGCTGAAAGGATACCAGACCACTGTGGGTACTCCACTGGCCTTAGTTAGGAAAGCTATTCTTGACAGATGATTGATCTCAGACACCTCCAAAAAATGCGTTTCTACGACCTACCGTGTAACTTATTCCACTATCTACATTAGAAAGTTTTTTTTAGTATCCAATTTAAATGGCCTTGTTGTAATTTGAGCCCATTAATTCTTGTTTAAACTGTAAACTAACATAAAAAAAGAGATTTTTTTTTTTCTTTGCAGAAACCTTTTACATATTCAGGAATTATTATCACACCTACCTATCTACCTACCAACTTTTGCTCTCTGAACAATCCCAGTTTTTCAATGCTTTCCTTAAATCTTTCAGGTTTTCTAGATCTTTGAACACTCCTGTTGCTTTTGTTCACAACACAGCCATAGTACTCTTGCTGAAATCTTACCAGTGTTAATACATGAAGGAATATTTCACTTTTCCTGCAAAGGATATATGCATACTCATACATTTATGCATACTTCCTTTTTTTTTTAGACTAATATGATAATA